ATATAACGAACATTTCATTTGTTATAATGCCGAATGACCTGCGGATCATCCACAGCATTCGGGAACCCTTACGGGTAGCATTTGTCCAGTTCTCGCTGGATTTGAAGTCAGAGGATAAAGAGATACCCAAGTCAGTTTGTTCAGTCACTTGACGCAATACATTTCCGCCAAGTACGTAAGAAGTTGTGGGAGTGCTTGATCCTATGCGCAGGACCGAACACTTTGCAAGATTGACTGGCAGCTGCCACAATTCTGACCACTTCCAAAGCTTGTCCAGAGCTGTCTGTAAAGCCGTGGGCCCAACAGAATCGCTCACTGTATTCCAAAATTTTAAGTCATCCGCAAACATAAGGGATGGTACCTTAAGCTTCTCAGGGAGGTCATTGACATACAATGCAAACAGTAGAGGTCCGAGAACCGACTCTTGAGGAACACCACTCAGAACGGCTTGTCTGAAAGACAGCTCGGAACCCACTCGGACGCTCATCTGCCTTCCTTCCAGGAAAGCCGAAATCCACTTCAATACTTGGCCTGAAACGCCGTAGGATTCTAGTTTAAACAAAAGACGGCAATGCGGTACGGTGTCAAAGGCTTTAGAAAAGTCGATGAACAACACATCCGCTGCCTGTCCTTGGTCCACAGCCTCAGCCCAGCACTCTCGGGCTACCAACATGTTAGTCAAACAGGAGTGGCCTCTGCGGAAACCATGTTGAGACGGGCTGAGCAAACTGAACTTAGCTAAGTGCTTCTCCAGTGCATCTCTTACAAGCTTCTCTAATACTTTCACCAGTACGCTTGTTAGGCTAACCGGTCTATAATTTTCAGGTAAGTGCTTATCACCCTTTTTGAAAATAGGGCACACGATAGCATCTCTCCAGTCAGCAGGTAGGGAGCAGCTACGAAGAGACTTCTCAAAGATACACTTAATCGGTTTACACAGCAACCCAGCCAGCTCGTACAAAAGTTTGGGATGGAGGGCATCTATCCCGGCAGCTTTTATTGGGATTTAGGTCATGCAGGAGCTTGAGTACCTGAGCTTCCGAGATGGAAAGGTCCATCAGAAAGGAGTCTAAGGGTATCTTTGCTTGCAATTGGATATTAGGCAATGGAGATTCATGGACAAACGACCTAGCATACTGTTCTGCAATTAAGCAGGCCTTGGCCTGATCGGTTGATACTTCAGTGCCGTCAGGTCCAAAGAGCACAGGGATAGGCGGATTTGCATTGCATCTCCGTTTGACATAGCCAAAGAACCGTTTCGGGTTTGTTGATGCCGATCGAGCTAGCGCTAGTTCATATCTCAAGCCTGCGGCCCGCAGATGTTGTTTACATGCATTTCGCACGCTTCGGTAGCGATGATGGGTACTTTCTGAGGGAGGTGATACGTAAGTCCTCCAACACCTGGATCGCCTACTGAGCATCCTGCGCGCCTCAGAGTCAAACCAAGGGGGCTTTGCCCCTACTTTATTCCTCGCTGAGATTGGAATGTTGGGGAGGGAAATCTCGCAAAGAAAGGACTTGAACTTGTCCCAAGCAACCTGGACGGTGTCATCCTCTGACATGATACAGGGTTGATTTGCAGCCTTGTCCCTGATGGCTTGAAAATCAGCGCGCCAGATATTTGGCCTTCTGACCATACACTCTTCACGTCCCCGACTTAAGGCGCATTTGAATAAGAAGCAGACGTGATCACTAGAGCCCAAGGGAGCAGCATACACTACATCTCGTACAAAGTCCAGCGATTTCGCAAAGATGAGGTCTAAAATGGAAGGCTTTTGGCCCTCCATGAACCTAGTTGGGCTTTGTACAAACTGATGAAGGGATGCTTGTAAGGATAGGTCAAGGAGATCATTAGAAAAACGTCCAGTCGCCGCAGTGCAGAAATTGCGCCAATCCACCTCAGGAAGATTAAAATCACCCAAAACAAGACATCTATTTGTCGTATGAGTACAAATGAACTCAATGAGCCTGCTTGACGTACTTTCGGGACTTCTGTATACTAACACAATTTTGAATTGCGTGAAAGAAGCGCAAACATCTACCGCAAGCGCCTCGGCAGTTACATCAGGGGGACTGAAAGAATATGTTCGTGAAATAGTCAAGGTGGATTTGACGTACAAAGCAACTCCACCTCCGCGACAGCATGAGGCGCGATCAGCTCGCAGAAGGGTATAACCAGGCAAACACATTTCACTGTCCAGGAAATCGGAGAAAAGCCACGTCTCAGTGAAAGCGAGTACGTCTGGCCGGGAACTTTCTACAAGAGTGCCAAGCTCGCACATCTTGTTCCTCAGACTACGCACGTTGCTGAGGACTACTTTAAGCAAATTGGGATCGTGAGCCGGGGATCCGGTGCCACCAGAACGGGCTCTGAAATGGCGGAAGTAGACCTCCGGCTCACCACCCGAAAACCCCCCAATCGAAGACCAATTTCACCCGCCTCGCGACGGGCTTTGAGGTCCTTTATGGCGGCCTTCAATTTCAACCTATCAGTCAATGTGAGGTCAGGTTGAATACTGACCCCAGAACCCTTGAGTTTAAAAGCGAAACGCAGAAGCGTATTACGCTCGTCCGGTGTTGAAAGAACCACTCTCCGTGAACGGGGTTTGACGCCCGAAGCATTGACCGGCACAGACCCAAGCCTAATGAGTTTCCGTACAGTTACGCCAGAAAACCCGGGCGGTAGCAGTTTAGAAATGCAAATCTTAAACCATTGCAGGTCCGCAAGCATTCGCTCCTTTGGAAGAGTTGCGGTGGACTCCGTGACATTCCTAAAGATGACACTGCTATCAGTGTAGGACTCACTGCGGCGGGGGGTACCTACTTCACGCGCCACAGTCATAGAATCATGCGGCTGGGTGTCTGGTTGCTTGGATGCACTAGCTGCGTACGAAGAGTCTTTGGGAGGAGACACCGATGGACTCAGTACTGAAGGCTCTGCAAGTGACGTGCGTACCTGATCCACTGTATACTCCGAGACTACCGCATTTTGCAAGTTTACAGTTTTCTTCTTCTTGCTCGGCGTACGTTTCGCTGGCAAGGTTCTTTCCAACTGTTTAGCGCCAATTAGCTCACAATCAGTTGCTGGATAGGGTGTTAAGTCGACTGAATCCGTTTGCGTGTTACTATCCGCTAATTCCACCTGGGCGTGAACAGTGGATGGTGTCAGGCGATCTAGTAAACCTTAAACTTTCCCATCCAAAGTTGTCAGCATCAAAGAAAACACTCGTTCCATATTTGTCAGTCTGGAAACGAGCGAATCGAATCAGTTTTTCGTGGTTACAAAGCGCTCAGCTTAAAACAATCTTCACAGCTATAAAGGAACCTCTCATTGCTTGCCAGGAGAGCATACTGATCAGCAGGCAAACCGGTGCATGCCTCATGGAA